GTAAAAAGTGAGTGAAAGATTATATATGTCCCTAGAACAACCAACATGGCTGGGAAAATGGCTGCACAAGGGGGAGGTGTGGGGGGGACAGGACAATGGAATGAGCCCAAAGAAAACAGCTGCCTGAGATAAGTCAAGGGCAGTGTCAAGATCACGTCTGGGAACCACAAACAGCGCAATCCTGCACATCAATGCACCACAATTGGATGTCGGAAATGAGGGCTAATCGGTGGATGAAATATTGAGGGGACGGGCTGTGCCACCCACCTCTCCCTTTTGGGGTACTGAATGAAGGAGATTTTGGAGTGAGACTCGGCTTGTTTGTCTGCAGCTGCTGGCTGGGAGGTGGGTGGCCCAGAAGGAATGAGCTTCACCATCATAGTTTCCATCCCCACAGTCTCCTGGGACTCCGGGATCCACCTCTTTGCCAATTCTCCAGATTATCAGATTTTCTAGTATCCAGTCTGGCCCTGTCCAAATTAGATCAGATAAATGGGGTTCCCTTTATAATGATCAGTGTATTGTCATGCCCATATATAACCATACTGTGTGGCATAGGCGCCAACTCTGCGGGTGCTCTGGGGCTCGTGCACCCACCGACAGCCCCACAGATCAGCTCCTCCATCTTATCCCCCAACACCTCCCGCCCACCAGCACCCCACTGATCAGCTCCTTCCCATCCCTCCCCGCAAGTCCCGCCCACCATGATCAGCTGTTTCGTGTGGCTTAAAAACAGCAATGTTCCATGTCAAAGTCTAGGGTGTGGATCCAATGGATTGCTTCCGGTGATGCGGCGTGGATGGCCGAAACACCAGGATAGGATCATGAGCCGTTGACCGATGAGATATGCCATGGTTTGAAGTGTTTCCATTGCAAGTAGAACTGTGTTTTGTTCCCATTTCGTGAGAAGGTGGGTGCATCTGCTGTGGGATGTGTGGATGCAGTTCCAAGTGGACCATATACTTCATGGGAGTGAAAAGCCACCGGGGCAGGTGATGACAACCTTCTTGTGGTCTGCTCTGTTACGTGCTAAGGCACAACCAATGTCATCAAAGCGGCATCTGATGTCGTTCAGTGCAGTTCCAGATTGAACACTAGTGGAGTTACTCTAGTGTAGTCCAGAGAATTCGTGTGTGTGTGTGGGGGGGGGGGGGCTTATAATGGAATAATTATATCAGTTTAAATTCACACCTTAGGTTCTATTGAAAAAAAAAAACCTTTCCCATGTAGGCAAGGGCCTCAGTTTAAACACTGATTGAAGTTAGACTGGTGCAAGTTTTTCCTGTATAACTTCATTCCAAAATGGGACAAAATCCAGGCTGTGTTGAAGCCAATGGGAGTTTTGCCATTGACTTCAATTGGGTCAGGATGTTACCCAATTTGTCCTTTAAAAAAAGGAGGGAGAGATGATCCCAGGCAGGAGATGAAATTTTGGTCTAAAACAAAGTCATAGCACCATTAGGATTGACCCAATGTCCATCTAGCCCAGTATCCCGTCTCTGACAGTGGCCAGCACCAGATGATGCAGAGGAAGGTGTAATAACCTCACAGTAGCAGATGTTGGCTAATCTGCCCCTTACATTGGATTTCATTGATTTAAGCCCCACATCATGTGGTTTAATAGCCCTCCTATAATGGCTATTTTTAATTATAATAACTGGTTATTCTGGACGCTTGCTAGCCCGTGCCAACAGTGAAATGATATGAAAGCTAATGAGACACATCCTAGTAAATTCCACTTTCAAAAATGTATTTAACAGATGTTGAATGACATTGTTGTTATAGTTGCATGCATGTAAATAATCCTCACAATCCATAGGACAGACAGAATTACCACCAGGATTTAAAAGTTATAACAGTGTGATACATAGAAAAGCTATTTTACATCAGTTTTAGAGATTTGTATGGTTCCTTCTGTGTAGACCTGGGCAAATTGATGCTTTGGCCAAACTGAAAAATCAGAATTAAAAAAGAAAGTTTCAAGGCCACATGAAAACAAAAGTATCAGAGTGGTAGCCGTGTTAGTCTGTAGCCACAAAAACAAGGAGTCTGGTGGCACCTTAAAGACTACCAGATTTATTTGGGCATAAGCTTTTGTGGGTAAAAACCTCACTTCTTCAGATGCATGGAGTGAAAATTACAGATGCAGAATTTACATTTATTCTCTACGTAAAAGAATAAATGGACACAAATCGGACATCAGAAGTGGTAACATACAAAAGCCAGAAGGAGAACACTTCAATCTCCCTGGACATTCTATAACAGATTTCAAAGTAGCCATTCTTCAACAAAAAACCTTCAGAAACAGACTTCAAAGAGAAACAGCAGAACTAAAATTCATTTGCAAATTTAACACCATTAATCTGGGCTTGAATAGGGACTGGGAGTGGCTGGCTCACTACAAAAGCAGCTTTGCCTCTCCTGGAATTGACACCTCCTCATCTATTATTGGGAGTGGACCACATCCCCTGATCGAATTGACCCTGTCAACACTGGTTCTCCACATGTGAGGTAACTCCCTTCTCTTCATGTGTCATTATATAATACCTGCATCTGTAATTTCACTCCATGCATCTGAAGAAGTGGGTTTTTTACCCACGAAAGCTTATGCCCAAATAAATCTGCTAGTCTTTAAGGTGCCACTGGACTCCTTGTTGTTTTTGTGAAAACAAAAATGTTTTGGTTTTTCTTCCAAAATGAAAAACCAATATATTTTTGTTTCCGGTCGAATGAAACCTAGGAGTTGTACAGATTGAATTACTTCAGTAGAAAATCACAGCAGTAGCTGCGATGGTTAAACATGGTGTATAGACCAGGCATGCCTCCCTGATGTGCCTTTGAAAATGCCATCTTAGATGATAGATAGATAGATAGATAGATAGATAGATAGATAGATAGATAGATAGATAGAGGGGGTGTATGGGGATAGATAGATAGATAGATAGATAGATAGATAGATAGATAGATAGATAGATAGATAATGTAAGGGGACTACTAACATTCAGTGGGGGTGTTTTGGTTGCTAGCTCCCAGTAGCAAAGGAAAGGGGTGGGGGGGTCGATGGGAAATCAGGACCTTGAGACTGACAGTCCTCAGGGGCAATGGGGAGAGGCCAACTCCAGGTCAGCCTGATGGACAGAGCGGGCAGGCTCATCAGGGAGTCAGGAGGCCAGGGGGGGTCCCATCCTCCCTGTGAGCTGGAATTGCCTGGGTCAGAGAGAGTGGGGCTGAGCTAAGGAGGGAGCAGGGGCCCGAGCTGAGCTGGGAAGCAGAGCCGGGCCGGCCAGAGGGGCCAGACAAGCAGCCAGGAAGCAGGTCAGAGCTGGGAGCAGAGTCACAGAAGCAGCCCACAGAACAGACCTGTCCTGGGAGCAGAGCTGTAGCAACCAGAGCCAGAGGGGCCAGAGAAGCAGCCCAGGGAGCTGAAGGCAGAGCAGCAGCAGCAGCCGTGCTGAGGCCGAGTGGAGCTGGAGCTGGAGCTGGGGCTGGAGCCGTCCGGAGCCAGGTGCGGGGAGCAGCTGGGGAGAGTGAGGGAGACCCTGGGCAGTGGGCCCAGCACAGGGAGACACCTCAGCCAAGATGCCTTGCAGGCCGCACTGGGAGGGGATCATAACCCCGACCGGGCAGGGGCGACGCTGGGAAAAAGGGTCCTGCGACCTAGAGCCTGAAAGCGTGTGGCCACCGCCAGAGCAAGTGTCCGACCCGCGGCGTCTCTGCAGCACAGTCGGGGCCTGGGAAGGAGGCCTGGGACCTACAAGGAACAGACTGTGACCTGCCCTGACGTCCAGAGACACTGCTTGTGATGTTCCCGGCCACAGAGCGGGGTGATGTGTTTTCCTTCAACCTTTCCCATTTTCCTTATTCCTTTTTAAAGTAATTACTGATTAAATAAACTATATTTGCTTTAAATTGTATGAAATGATCAGTGGGTCAGGGAGGTGCCCAGTGCAGAGAGGGTACCCCAGAGTGGGGACACCCTAGCCCTGTCCTGGGTGACTACAGCAGGGTTGGGGGTCCAGCCCCCCAGGAATCCTGGGCCCAGCCTTGTCGGGGTTTACGAGGACTCTGCCAGACAGGAGAGTGGAAGGGGAGTCCTCAAGGGCAGGGAGGCCTCTGGGTAAAGGAAGTGGGAGGGAGGACTCAGATCCTTTCGCTAACCCATTTCACCAGGGTAGTGCAGAAGTCAGGAAAGTTCCACACAATAGTGGGACCATTGCCCCGCTTTAGATAGATAGATAGATAGATAGATAGATAGATAGATGGGGTGTCTGGGGATAGATAGATTAGATAGATAGATGGGCTGGTGTTTATGGTGGGGGAGTGTATATAGGGGGATAGATAGATAGAGGGTTGGGATGTATGGAGAGAGGGGAGAGAGATATACAATGGGAATTAGGCATCTAAATAGCTTTGAAAATCTGGGCCACCATCCATGAGGAGCCAAATACACTCTGAGGCATAACACCCTGGTGACTACCTTGTTGTGCAAGGAATTGTACTTTGCTACAGCCTTTAAAAGGCTGCAGCATACTCCCCCCATATCCAATCAGCTCCGAGGCCAGGGGCATGGGGCGATGTGGAGCCGTTACTCCATTCCCCACCCACTGATACCCAAGGCAGTGACAGAATCCCAGATTCCTAGACCAGAAGCGATCACAGGCAAAGTAACTAGACCTCGTGTCTATCACAGACCAGCAACACCACCCAGCACCCGCACACTAAACCTGACAACCGAAATTACATTAAAGCATTACAGCCCTCAGACCTCAGAGTATTGGGGGGGTTGCCCCTGCATTCCCCTAAGTGCCAGAGAGCACACTCTGAATTTGGTCTCATCTCACCATCAGAGAATAGGGACCAAATTCTGCTGTCAATGATCCCAGGGTAAATCCAGTTCTGTTGATTTAATTGGAGTCACTAGCTTCACACTGATGAAACCAAGACCAGAAACTGGTCCTAGGTCTTTCTTGCACAACAAGCGAATTGATTTTTTGGTTAGGTTACTTTGACTTTCTCCCTTCTCCCTCCAGAGCCTCCTTCAGAACTCTGAAGGTACTTTCAGCTATGGAATCCAAAAGGTATTGAAGCACACCGTGTGTTCTTCCAATCGAAAAACTTGCACCTATCACTGGTATCCACCGGATAACGTTAGCAGCCATAGGAGTAAAGTTACGCAGCAGGTCACATATATAAATGGGTGTTATTGCTGAGGCCTGTGGACATGTCATCACAGCCTTCAGGTCTTTGACATCCTTCCCAACCTGCCCAGCGAGAGTAGAGAGGGAGTCGTCATCCAGGCCAAAATCTTTGTAATAATCTTTTATGAAATTTGTCATGATGAAAGAATCAGCATAATCAAAGGGACCCAGCAAAGCAGCAACAGCAAACCCGCCCGTCAGGAAGCTTGTTCCAATTGTAGCCACCCATTTTTCTGCTTTTTTCTCTTGCAGAGTGGACCGTGAGATGCTCAATAATTTCTCTCTCTCCTGACTGACGATTTTGTTGAATAAAGTTTCTTTCAGGAGTGGAAAATCATAACAGCAAGGTCTACTGCTGGATATGAGAAAAACCTGGTGGTCAGTCAGACCCCCTATTTGCAGGCGCTCTTTGCATTCCTCTCGGATCGTTTGCAGGGCGCTCTCTTCAGCCATTTCAGCTAACACATCGTTGTCCACTTTGGAGCGTACAAAGTAAAAGCTTTTCCCCCTCCTCTGAATTTCCTTAGCGAGTTCAGTATGGATGTTTATGAAACGCTCAGAGGCAATTATGATGAAAAGGTCATATGGGTCAAAGCCTACCTGCTCAAGATACTTGTCTGCTTTAAAATCTGAACGTGAGATCTCTGGCATGTCCCAAAAGTACAATTTAGGGTATCTAGGATGTCTGTAAGAGGTAGGCGATCTGTTTGTCCTGTTCCCCACCCATGCAATTTGGGCAGCTCCTGTATCATCATTCTTCAGATCCCTGATTGCGTTGACAAAGGATGATGCACCAGAGCCAGCCTTTCCAATGACAGCAACGGCAAATCTGCGATTCATGATCTCCTGGGCTATGGAGATGGCTCTGGCAAGGTTCCCTGCTTTCACAGCTGCCTTGAAATCTTCGGTGGACATAATGGACAGCTTCTTATTGTCTGTAGGGAACAAAATGTAACTTCAATAATTTCCCCTCAAAACTGAGAAGGCATTTAAATAATATTACAGGGCATGAGAGAGAGCATTTCCCACTGTTAAATGCTTGGTTAAATATTTGGGTTGCTTTTTTTTCAGATTTAAATAATGATGCTAGCAGTGTAGTCTGATGCAGAATTTACACACATGCTGGTCCAGCGAGGTTCATACTTCAAGCACTGGTAAACGAGATCTTTAAGTGGCTCAGTGAGAAGGCCGGGAACAATCAGAAAAGGCTACAGTTTTCTGTTTGTTTATTTCAGGCAAGGGAGAAGCAGTCAGCAGAGCTGTGTGCATGCTGAGATCTGTCAGCAGCTGATCAGAAGCCAACAGAGCGAGTGGCCATGCTGCACCGGACTCATACACCATGAGGCAGGGTGGGGCACCTGCTCCAAGCCAGGGAGCAGAGGGGGTCTCTTTTTCTCTTACATGGCATGCAGGAGACCAAGCAGATGGTTCCCCAGATGATCTGTCTATAGAATGGAAAAGGCTTCTAGTGGAGGAGAGACAGACAGAGCGGGAGTCCAGGTGTCTGAGGGCTGCTCTACACCACACAGTTAAAGGCAGTTTATCTAGACCTAATTATTTCAGTGTACACACTACAGCCTTGCACTCGCTGATGTAGGTACTCTAGTACACCGACATAATAACTCCACCTCCACGAGACGTGTAGGGCTTATGTTGGTGTAGTCAGGGTGATGTATTGTCCCTGTAGACACTGCATCCCTTACCTCAGCTGTCCTGTCAATTTCACGCCTCCTGCCATGAAATTGACAAGAAAGCTTGGCAGCTAGAGCCCAGTTTCCCCGCCCTCCACCCCCAACTCCCCTGGAGAGCTGGGTGGCTGGACTCTGCTCCCGGCTGGGAGCCAGGGTGAGAAGCAGGAGCAGCCCCCCCCTCCTGCTCCATGCTGGGAGCCGGCAACCTTGTCAATTTCATGGCTCCCTGAGCCCTGAAATGGACAAGGCTGCCTGATCCTGTTGGGGAGCGGGTTGAGGAGAGGGGGCAAGAACCTGGGAAGCTGGACCCGGGGCAAGAAGCTCTGGGCAGGTTCCCCCGCTTCCTGGGGGAACAGGGAGTGTGGGAGGGGGGCAGCCTGCCATAAGCCCAGGAGCCTGTGGGTCAGCTGGGCTCCTGATGGAGCTGCCAGCAGAGCTGAGCGATCAGGCTCTCAGCTCCCCACCCTGCCCATCTTAGGTCACTGAAAGTGCTTCTGGGGAAGACGCACACCACTGAAGCTTACTGCTTACTTACAGCAACAGAACTAGATAAGTTCATGGAGGATAGGTCCATCAATGGCGATTAGCCAGGATGGGCAGGGATGGTGTCCCTAGCCTCTGTTTGCCAGAAGCTGGGAATGAGCGACAGGGGATGGATCACTCGGTGATTACTGTGATGGGTTGGATCACAGAAACCCCCTTGGGGCTGCCAACTGATGTGCCCAGACTACTTCTGGCCCTGCTTTCCTGCCCTCCCAGCTTGGGACTTCAGTGTCCTGCCTGGTTTGAGCCAGATCCGCTCGCCTGCTGCAAACCCAGACCAGGGTCTGAACCACTTCCCCTAATAGCTGTAGGCTTAACTGAAAGCAACTTACAGAAGTGTTCCTGTCTTTAACACTCAGATGCCCAACTCCCAGTGGGGTCCAAACCCCAAATAAATCCGTTTTACCCTGTATAGAGCTTATACAGGGTATACTCATAAATTGTTCATCCTCTAACAGTGGTCTCCAAAGCGGGGTGCGCAAGAGGATCCTTCGGGGTGCGCGGCAGGAGGAGCGCCGCCGGAGCAGCGCTGCTTTCCCCCCCGCCCCCCCTTCGGCAGTTCGGCCGGGAGTCTGAGCGGCTTTTTTTTTTGCTTCAACAGTTTGGCCGGGAGCAGGGGGGGCGTGCTCAAAATTTTTTTACTGATGGGGTGCGCCATCAAAAAAGTTTGGAGACCACTGCTCTATAACACTGATAGAGAGATATGCACAGCTGTTTGCCCCCCCCCCCAGGTATTAATACATACTCTGGGTTAATTAATAAGTAAAAAGGGATTTTATTAAATATAGAAGTAGGATTTAAGTGGTTCCAAGTAGTAACAGACAGAACAAAGTAAATTACCAATCAAAATAAAATAGAACACGCAAGTCTATGTCTAATACAGTATGAAAACTGAATACAGATAAAACCTCACCCCTCAGAGGAATTCCATTAAGCTTCCTTTTACAGCTTAGTTTCCTTCTAGTCTGGGTCCAGAAATCACTCACACCCCCTGTAGTTACTGTCCTTCATTCTTAGTACTGTCTTAGCTATCTCTTTAGCCAGCTGAAGACAAAATGGAGGTGTCTCCCAGGGAGGTAAATAGACTTTCTCTTGTGGGTGGAGACCCCCTCCTCTCTCCTATGCAAAGTCCAGCTCCAAGATAGAGTTTTGGAGTCACATGGGCAAGTCACATGTCCATGCATGACTCAGTTTTGACAGGCAGCAGCCATCGCCCACATGTTATCTTGAATGTCTCCAGGAAGACTTCTTATATGGATTGGAGCATTCCAAGATCCATTGTTTGTTAAGTGGTTCTTGACTGGGCACTTAATTTGCACATTCTTTTCTCAAGAAGCTGACCGAATGCTCTACTAAGGTTATCTCATAGAACTGGAAGGGACCCTGAAAGGACATTGAGTCCAGCCCCCTGCATTCACTAGCAGGACCAAGTACTGATTTTGCCCCAGATCCCTAAGGGGCCCCCTCAAAGATTGAACTCACAACCCTGGGTTTAGTAGGCCAATGCTCAAATCACTGAGCTATCCCCCCCCGCGAGCAAGTATACAGCCAATATTAATAACTTCGAATACAAAAATGACACATGCATACAAATAGGATGAATAGATTCAGCAGATCATAACCTTTGCAGAGATATGTTACATGGCATATGTAGCATAAAACATATCCCAGTTATGTCATATATACATTCATAAGCATATTTCCATAAAGCCCTCTGGGGTGCACCATCACAATTACCTGTTCTGTTCATTCCCTCTGGGGCACCTGGCACTGGCCACTGTCAGCAGACAGGATCCTGGGCTAGATGGACCCTTGCTCTGACCCAGTAGGGCCGTTCTTATGTTCTTATGTCAATGGGGTGGAGTAGGGGGAGCAGGCGGGGTTGGGATGAGGGAGGTGATGGGGCCCCAGAAAAGCGGTATTGATCATCCCGGCCTGTGCATGTGAACAGCCCCAGCCCCACAGCACTGGGTGAGCTCGTCTCTGTGCCCTATCACAGCCCCAGGCGAATAGCGTAGCTGAATTCGACGTATCGCAGCCGACTTACCCCGCTGTAAGGACGGTGGCAAAATCGACCTCCGCGGCTTCCCGTCGACGGCTTTTACTCCCACCTTCGCTGGTGGAGTAAGAGCGTCGATTCGGGGATCGATTGTCGCGTCCCATCGGGACGCGATAAATTGATCCCCGAGAGGTCGATTTCTACCCGCCGATTCAGGCGGGTAGTGTAGACCTAGCCTAAGTTTTCAAGTACTGTACATAAAATGTTGTTATAAGGAGGAGGATGATCGATTGTTCTCTTTAACCAGTGAGGGCAGGACAAGAAGCAATAGGATTAAATTGGAGCAAGGGAGATTTCAGTTAGACATTAGGAAAAACATCCTCACTGCCAAGGTACTTAAACACTGGAACAAATTAACATAAGAACATAAGAAAGGCCGTACCAGGTCAGACCAAAGGTCCATCTAGCCCAGTATCCTGTCTACACCAGTGAGTCTCCCTCATTGGAGATTTTTAAGAGCAGGTTGGACAAACACCTGTCAGGGATGGTCTAGATAATACTTAGTCCTGCTATGAGTGCCGGGGACTGGACTAGACGACCTCTCAAGATCCCTTCCAGCCTTATGATTCTATGAGTCTACGATTGCCAGTCATTGCTCAGCAGCCATATTAATGGTCATTTTGAAGCTGCCATTGTGAATGTCTCCTGTACCTGGAAGCAAAAGGCGGCGGCAGCAGCAGCAAATGAGAGCCAGACGAGAGAGGAGTCTCTTACCTTCCACCCCAAGTGCACCAGACCCTCCGACCTCCTCGATGAACTCAGAGAAGCAGAATAATCCCCGCGTGTTCCTCCATCTCCCTCCCTTCGTGTGTCTCTCGGCGTCTCTGAGTTCTGAGTAACAGGAAAAGTGAAAGTAAATACCGCAATGATCTAAGCACATAGCAAAGTTCAGATCTCTCAGGGCTTTCAGGGGAGTAGAGAATCAGAACCGTTCATCTGCCGCTTGTCACTTGTGTGTCACCAAACACATGAGCCTCATGACCAGAGATAAACCCCAGCCGAAATTTGCTGGTGGTGTTTGGGATTTACAGCTAGCAATTTCACGAGTGTCCACTTCACCTTTTCAAAAGGGCTCCCTGGCATGTGACACCTGTAAGCATCTCAGGCCCCGTCTGCACTGCTGCTGCGTGGTGTGACTCCAGCCCGGGCAGACAGACTCACACTAGCTCTGCTTGAGCCAGTGTGCTAAAAATAGCAGTGTGGACAGTGCAGCATGTTGGGGGGAGGGGACAGCTCAAGCTTCAGCCATCAGAGCTGGGACCCAGGGGGTTTGGGTGGAGTTGGACTTGGGTGGCTAACGAAGCCACCGCCGGTGCCCCAACATCGCCTCTTTTCAGCGTTCCAGTTGGAGCAAAGCCAGCATCTGTCTGTCTGTCTGTCTGTCTGTCTACCCGCACTGAGAATAACGCCTCCTAACTGCAATGAAGACCGCCCCTCAGGCCTGGTCTGCCCTTTGAAGTTAACAGGATTACTGTTTCAACGAGGGATGTGATTTTTATCTAGCTATAGGGTTCTTCTACACTGGAGGGGTGATTTGCAGCTCGAGGAAACACCCGGGTTAGCTCTGACAGCCCCTTGGGCGGCCATGGCCACACTTCTGTTTTTAGCCTGGTCGCTTGATC